AAAAAAAAAAAAAAAAGAGTCAGACTTCAGCTTAGAGACATAATGCAGTTGCATGCCTTCTTGGATATCTTATTTACAGCAGAACCATATTTACTAGGAGGACAAGATTGGATAGACAATGCCTTGGGCTTCTTCCTCTCTGTCTCCCGTGTCCCTGGCAGAGACTGGGGAAAGGGAGAAAGCAAGAAGAGTCAAGTCAGTTCCGAGCTGGGTCGTCTGTGTTGCTTAGGCATGTTCTTTCCTTCACCGTCCCACAAGGCTCCAGCACCTTTCCTGGACCAGCTTCTCCCACAGTGCAGCACTTTCCAGCTCTTTTCCCTAAGTCTTGTGCTCCCATCACCCGCCTCTCAGTGTGGGGTCCTTCTCCAGGATCTTTTTTTAAAATTTCATACAAATATTCTAATCAGTTTCCCCTCCCCTAGCTCCTCCCAGATTCTCCCCACACCCCCACCTGTTCAGCTCTACACCCTTTCTTCCTCTCTTTCTTTGGAAACAAACAGGCAAACTAGTGGTTTGAATAAGAATGGCCCCAGTTTGCTCCGAATTTGAATGCCTAGGCACCAGGGAAGTAGCACCTTTTGAAAAGGATTAGAAAGATTACTGGCCTTGTTGGAGGAAGTGTGCCTCTGGGGGTGAGCTCTGGGCTTTCAGAAGCCCAAGCAAGGCCTAGTGGCATGCACTCTCCCTCTTCCTGCTGCTTGTGGATCCAGATGTAGATGTCCCAGCTTCATTTCCTGTCTCCAGCACCGTATTTGCCTGTGTGGCCATGCTTCCTGCCATGTTAATGATGGACTAAACTTCTGAAACTGTAGGCAAGCTCCAATTAAATGCTTTTCTTTATAAGAGCTGTCATGGTCATGGTGTCTTTTCACAGCAATAGAACATTGACTAAGACACACAATATACAAGCAAAAGATCAGTAAGACAAAAAACAAAAAAAAAAAGCCCAAAAACCCAAAGCATTATGAGATAAAAAGTCTACAAAATTAAATTACTATTGAGCTTGTTTGTATTGGCCATCTACTGCTGGGGATGGGGCCGACCCTTAAGTATGGTATATATATCCATTGAGACTCCATTGGAGAAGACTAAAGTTTCTTTTGCAAGCAGTTGTCAATTGGAGATAGCTTCTTGGTTAGGGATGGGAATCTACTTCCCCTTCTTAATGTTGGGACCCAGTCTGGCTTGAATTTGTGCTGGTCCTATTCATGCTGCCACAGTCTCTGAGTTCATATATGAATCGGTCCTGTTGTGTCTGGAAGATACTGTTTCCTTGGAGTCATCCATCCCTGCTGGCTCTTACCATCCTCTTCCTCGTCTTCTGCATAACTCCCTGAGCACTGAGAGGTACAGCACATCCTAAGAAGGAAGTCAGAGTTTTCTGTCAGCATGTAGACAAATGTCAGTCACAGTTACTCTAGATTTCTCAAATTACTGGTCATGAAAGCTCAGGCACAGCTCTGGGGCACAGTCTTGCAGATCAGTATGACGTTAGGACTGCATCAGGTAGGTAGCAGTATTTGAGTTACTTGTTCTAAACTTGTACTCGGGTAGAAACTCAATGTCTGTGTAAGGTAGACACTCAATAAATGCTGGATGATAAGTCAAATATGCATGATAGATTATTTAATAGCTGTCCAAAATCTTTTAGGAGAAAAATTATGTTAAGTAATACACACTTGTATATTGTAACTACTAGCTAGTATGAAGGTAGCATTTCACTTGTCTGTGACCTGGAAACCTGGACAATCCATGCTTTCTTTGATAGGTTTTATTAAGGCTTTCCTGCATGAATCTCTGTAAGCAACCACTGGATTTCCTGCATTATTTAAATACTTAGTTTTTAATTTTCCCATTTCCTGCCACTTCAGAAAATTAGATTTGACTACACATAACAGTGGCTTAAGCTAGAGAGATGCTGGCTTCATCTTAATTTCATATGAAAAGCTGGGAAGTAGGTGGCACAGAGTTGTTTTGGTGGCTATATAGTCATTAGACTTGGTTCCTTCTCCCTTCTGACCTGCATCCTTGTTCATGGATTCTGTCTTCATAGCTGCTGTAGCTCTAACCAATGCATCCCATTCCTGTCAGCAAGAAGAAGAAAGGTAGATTCAAGAAAAATACCCAGACACAGAAATAAAGCAGGTGTAGGATCCAGGTGACAGCCTTGCCTGTCCTCACAAGGATCATCATGCTCTTGAAATGACTTGCTCTCTAATTACTGTTGATTAGAGCTTCAGCTCTGAAGTCACACGTTAACTTGGGAAAATGGTACGACAGTGCATCTTCTTCCTCAGGAAGAGATTCTCTTGTTGCCCTGAAGAGCAGAAGGCACTTTTGTATGGAACTGGGCTTACTGTTCCAGGGTTTGTTTTGTTGTGGCTGCTGTATTGTTGTGTGGTTTTGCTTTTTTGTGTGTGTTTTGGTTTATTTGTTTCAGTTTTTAGATAGGTACACACTATGCATCCATGGCAAGCCTGATACTGTGTAGCCCAGATTAACCTCGAACTCATGACTATCCTATCTCAGTCCCAAGTGCTAGGATCACAGGGCATACTGCCATTCCCAGCATGTTTTTAACTTGACCAGCTTTGCCATCTTATTGGCTCCTTCATTAGTAAGATAATTATATGTGCAAATAATATGTGGAAATTATTTTAACCATTACCTCTTTTCACAGAAGGAAGGCCCAAATGACTTTCTTCTATGAGAGCCAACAATTTTCCTTAGTAATCTACTTAAAATTTCTACTTCTGCCTTACTGACAAGAACCTGGTTACAAGGCACCCATATCTAGCTGACAGAATGGCTGGAAATGTAGCCATTCAGGTGTTGCATGATAGTCATGTTAAAACCAGAGTTCCTGTACTGTAAGGAAAGGAAGGAAAGGACAAGGTGGCAGAGAGTAACTAAGGGTGCCCCAGGGGCACAAACCCATCCATTGTGCTCCTGTGACCTCTTCCTCTGTCTCTCCTTTCCAGTACCTTACAGTCAACCTCAGGGGCTCAGGAGCCTGAATCTCCTGCTCTTTCTGCTTCTGTCAAGACACCATGCCCCTTCTTCCCCACCGAAGGCCTGTGGGGAGCAGCCACACTTGCCTCTTCAGGCTCACCCTGCTTCTTTCTTTACCCTAGTCTCTAGTCAGGCTTTTTCCTCACACAGGAATCCTACCCTCACTGGCTACTGACCACATCATGCACAAGTAAATATTAATAAAAGATCACTGGTCATTCAATTTCTTTCCTTGGTTACTCATTATTTGTTAGTAGTTACTCTTCCTTAGGCAAGTGCTGTTTTCTCTTCTTTGTTGTAAGTTATCAACAGTTGCACAGTGGTCTAACTAGGTCTTCGACTCGGTTATGAGAACCTCAACATTGCTTTGGTGCCGCCGTGTGAAATGCAATCTAACACCCATCCTATCGGTCAAAAACACTTTTGGAAATGGCTTTTTTGTCAGCTCTGGTTAGTCACTCAGTTCTCTCTTGTATTGAATGGAGAAAAGAAATTGGATTTTCGTTGTTAATAAAAGAAGATTCTGCTTAGATTGTTTCTCGACCAACGCAGAGTCAAAGTCATAAGATGTTTCCCCGGCTCACTTATAAAGGAGAGCTGCAGATTTGGAACTCCCTGGAGGAAAACCATCAATATTATCCTTCATAGTGTGCTTCCCTGCTTAATCCTCCTCCTGAGCCCTTCTCAACACATGGATTGAGTTATTTTCAACTTCAATTTTTGTCCTAGACAAGAGAACACAGTGCCCCAAATACATGTTTGGCCCTCCCCAAGCCTGTCCATCTGCCGGCTCTGTTCATCACCAAGCAGGGCTTCTCTCCAGGGATTTGGGGCTGGGGCTCTGGAAGCCCAGGTGGCAGGCAGAACAACAGTGGCAGGATGTAGTTCTACTGCCCCAGTGTGGCAGACTCCGATCTATATCAAATGCCGCACTACCTCATTTTCTTGCAAAGACCCACTCCAGAGGAATGGTTTTCTAGCACATCGTGGGGCTCTGAGGGTTGGGGCTTTGGGGACCTGTCATAATTTTTCTCTCTCTTTCTTCCAGGTTTCAGGGACACTGGAGGTAAGAATGTAAACTTGAGACTTTAGTAAGTGACACTTTCTTGTCATGTCTAGAACCACCTCTCAGAAGGAGAGGTAACCCCTTACTCCAAGAGGTTGGTCCCTTTTTAGTATGGCCTTTGCATCAACCTGGCCCTGAGCAGAGGTTCAAAGCAAAGAACCCATGTCTGGCTCTCAGACATCCTATCTGTTGCAATTTTTCATTTACCCCCCTCCCAATTCTTTTTTTAAAAAAAGCACCATTTCGAAGGAAGACTTCATACACAAATCAAATGTCTTCTTGATGTTGTCTTTAGTTGCGATGTCAGGTGAAACTGGCCAGTCACTCTGCCTGGTAGACCAGGCTTGCCCAGTGTGTGTTGCTGCAGGCCTCCTCCTCTTGCCCCCATGCTTTGTTGCTCCCATCATTTACACAATCTGCTGTGGTGGTACAGGCAAGCTGAGTTTGGGATCCCCGTTGGAAGCAGCTGAACATGGGAAAAGAGGCCCAAGTCTTGGGGCGGACAGACCTCACGGTGACAAAAATTGAATGGTCTTTGAAACCTGGTAGGAATTTTCCCCATAAAGTAGAAAGTTAAGGGCACTTGAGGTAAGACAGAAAGACAAAGGGTATGGAATTAGTAATGTTATTGGAAAGGGACAAACAGAACATTAAGAAACTCTCAGGTTCCAGTCTAGGCTCTACCACATACTGCCCTCCTGACCCTGAATTGGTTATTACATTTTTCTTTAAAGCCTAAAAAACAAGTCCCTTATTGCATATTTATCAATCACTCCTATATTCTCTTTAGGGAAGCATCTCAAAATCTTTGGCTCATGTGTTCATCTGTTTGCTGGGTGCTGTGTGTTCCACTTGATCCCTTGTGAACTTAGATGCATGTCTTTTCATCTGTTAATGATAGCTTTTGATGAACAGAAATACTTGTTTAGAGAAGTACACATTTTCTACTTTTTCTTTGATGGTGAATAACGCTTGAACAGTGACTAACTCCTTTGTGAAGCAGTTGCAATCCTAAGGGAACAAAGTTCTGTGCCGTCTTTCAAAGCTTTTCTCTTTGATTTGTATTTAGGTCTGCCTTGCATCTGGAACTTGTTTGTGCTGTTGATGTGAGATAAAGCTCAAAGGCAGATACCATGAGATATCCAGTTAGCCCAGAACCACTTACCAAAGATCACTCCTTATCTCTGCAAAACATCGAATCATTTTCTTTGTCTTTAAGTTTCTGTTCATGTACAGGCCTGTTTCCAAACCCTATTCTTCTGTCTGTGTATTCCTGTGGATTGGCTCTCACAGGCCTGAGCACGGCAAATGTGGCCCTGACAGGTTTTGCCTTTTACCCTTCTCTCTCCCTTGCTAAAAACCGTTCGATTGCATTCCTAAACCTAGTCCGTTCATTTATTTGGCCACTGACTCATTCCTGAGACAAGACACCAAGGACCAACAATCAAAATTCTTCTGGCTATGCTGGCTAACCTGTCCAATCAGGATTCACCAACTCACCCTAGACAGACTTCCCCCCTTTTCTCCATAAAACCCACTCTTGCAAAAAACACCTGCTGCTGCTGCCTGTCTCTGTCCGGTCCAGAGGCAGCCTCTTCCCCAGCTTGGGGCTGAGAACTTGGTGTCTGGGTGTGTCCTGTACTGACCGTGTAGAAATCCCACATATCCTGGCTGCTATAGCCTCCTGGGACTTAGTGTTTGGGAACTGAAGTCTTCAGCTCTTGTTCTGATTTCCCACTGCCTTGGCTGTTCTTGGCCCTGGCTGATTTTAGAGTCAACGTGCCGGTTTCCTGAGTAGTAGAATGAATGCTCTAAAGTGAAGCATGCCGATTTCCGGGAGTCTAAATTCGATGTCCCTAAGGTAATCACCAAGTGCCTTCTTTGCACCCGAGTCAGGGTCATTAATGTCTGTATCCACCATGTGTCTACGTCTGTATCCACCATGTGTCTACATCTGTGTTCACACTGTCCTTACATCAGAAAACATGTCTGAGCCAGTTAACGGCTTTTGCTTTTTAACTTCTTAGCTAGTTTTTCCTGAAGTTGTCATGTTCGAGTTCTATATACACTGAATATGAAATTTATTTGAGCTTCTTTATGTTTAAAAATGAAAGCGTTTAACCCTATTTATTTATCTGACTATGGTCTCACAGATTTAAAACAAGAGTGTTCTACTGTCTGTAAACTAACACTTAGCCCATTTTGCCCCAGAGTTATATAGGAGAGTATTTTTTCCCTAATTGCCCAGAATTCTTTCAGATAATCTTTGTAATTTTTTATGCCAACCCCTCCATTTTTTAGCAAATCTCTGATCTATTGTTGAGGACCTGGAGCTCATTGGGAAAGAGTGGAAATGCTGTTTCCACCCTCATCCACTTGGGGTAGACAGGCTTTTGTGCGTTTCCGCAGTCTGATGTTTCATGACAGACAACCCAAGCCTATTGGGAAAAACAAATGTGAGGTGCCTTTTTCATTAGGGGGATTTGCTGATGGGTGAAAAGGACAATACCTCAGCTGTTGGAACATATTGCTGGCTGGTCAGAGGTTGCAGTCTATCATGACTGGCAGCTTTTTCCAAAAGCTCTGTGACATGGAGACTTTCTCCCTGCCCAGTGAAATTTCCTGGTCTCTACCTGCCCTTATCAGGAGAATGTCCCTGGGCCCTGAGGACTGACCTTATCTGAAAGCTGTCTCTAAGCCAGATGCCTGATTTATCTTTAGCTTGACCCTTCACATAGATTCCTGCTAGAAGGCTCCCTTGCTGCACATGTGATGACTAAGACTTACTTGTGCTAGGAGCCTTATGATAGGACCATGCCACTTAATGCACATTCGTGTTGGTCCCTGGGCTCCCCAATCCTGTATAGTCCTTATACTCGGGGATAAAGTTGAGCTGATTCACCAGTCTGTCTGCTGGTGGGCTTTCTCTGTAGTACCCACAGCTGTCCTAACCCTGTTCTCCGCTTCTGCTCCCTCCACTCTCACAGACCAAGGCAGCCAAAGATTCCAAGGGGGAAGCAGAGCCACACTCAGCCTTGGTGTGCTTGACAGGCCTGGGACAGACTGGTGTTAGGAAGATAGGATAATCGACCCCTCCTTTCCACAACATCCCCAAAGTGGTGGGGAAAAGGAGCTGTGAGCGACAGACGGGCATCAAGCGTTGCAGTGTGGGGGTGGAAGCAATGGGACGTGAGCTTCTCGGGGAGACTCACTTCAATCCTGTTCACCGTGGAAGGAACTGCCATGTTGGGCACCATGTCAGTGCAAGAGAGAAGACGACCCGAAAATGCCTCATCTGATGAGGAGCAAGTGTGGCAAAACCACTGGTAGAGACGAGACTGTTCTTTAGTTGCAGGTTAAAATCTGACAGCTTTCCTTCTTGAACTGTCATAAATAAATCACTTGTTGTGGTTGTGAAGGATCACTGTGAATGAGGCAGAGGCCCAAGATAAAAGTCCCCATGACCAGTCTGCAATGAATATTCAGATCAGTTCTAATTAATTTGAAATGTGCATCTCTCCAGGGCTGAACAGTTAAACACACTATCTCACGTTCAAACTATATTTCGTAGTGGTGAGAGCATGTGACTTCAATAATTTTAATTTGGTGAACTCATTCCTTATGTTTGTTTGTGAATTTGTCTAAGTTATTTTATAAATTCCAAATATTTCCATTGATTTTTCACTCATTCCCAAAGTTATCTGTTAATTATAGATTAGCTTAAAAGATAAACACATGAAAATAAATTAAAAATAAATTGAGAAAATATAAAAGCATAATGGAAAAATAAAGATTTGTGATGCCATTTTTTTAGTAACCATAAACATTATGGTTTATGTATAAACCATAACATTCCTCAATGTTAGATATTTTAGTGTTTTCAATATTTTCCTCATAATTGAGAACATTTGTAGATTCTTTTGTCCTATTTTAAGCATTTTATCTATTTAATGGGTATGAATGTTTTACCTGCATGATGTGTACCACTGGTGATCTGGAGGGTGAGGATCTTATCCCACTATCTCCGCATGCCTGGTGCCTGTCGAGGCCGGAAGAGGGAACTGGATCCCCGGAGACTGGGGTTAGAGATGGGTACTGGGACTCACAGCAGGGTCTTTGGAAAAGCAACCATAAATTGTGCATTCTTAATTACTCATGTAAGATAAATCACACAAGTGAAACGACAAAGTCCATCTTTAACTTTTGGTTGTATACTCCTAAATTGCTTTCCAATTTGGACCAATGAACCATGTCAACAGTCAAGTTTGAGACCACCTATGAGGATGCTAATATCAGGCATTGTCATTTGGTCTGCCCCTTGTTTAATTAACACAGATTATCTTCAGCTTCCACCGGGTGACTTACAATGGCCTCCCGTGCCCAGTCATCACACTCCTCTCTCCAGTCAGTCCTCCAGCTCTGCCCTTGCAGTTCTGACAGCCAAGGCTGATCATACGACCACTCTGTAAAATGCTGCAATAGCCTCCTTAGCCCCGAGAACTAGGCTTTAATGTCCGAGTGACTCGAAGGTTCTTGATCTCCACTGCAGCCTGTTTTTTGCCACTCTGTGATCCTCTGGTCATGCTTCCGGGCTCCAGACACACAAACCCCGTTTTTCTGTCTATTCCTCTGTCTTTTCCTCGCTCACTGTCACGTTGGGGCGCCTTTCCTCTTCTGCTGGTGGTGTCAGCTCTGACATGCTCTGATTGCACCTGGACTAGGCAACATTGCCCCCTAGAGGACCTCAAGGTGCTCTGACTGGCTGACTCCTGAGATGACATGCATAAATGACTGTGAACGTTGGTGATCTGGATGGTGCCGATCATATCCCACTGTCTCTTTGGATGTTGCTTCTGCTCCAGTCTTTCTTTCTTTTGATACTTCAAAAAATCTGTTAGATCTTGGATCCATAGGGGTCTTTTAATTTCATTTGTATTTTCTGTGTTACATTCTAATAGTTTATTGTCTCTCATTCCAGTTTACCAATCTTCTCTTCAGCCATGTATAATTTAGTATTAAAATTGTAGGCTTGGCTATTAACTGATTTGCTGCACTTTTGAAATATGTGAGTTTAAACTCAATATCTCAAGCCTACTAAACACATATCAGTCATACTGTAGCTATACTATGAATCTATGCTCATAGCATGGCTGTTGCGGTTCTTGAGCCAGGATTTCACAGTCTAGCCTAGAATGGCCTTGAACTCATGACCCTCCTGCACCAGCCTCCCAAGAGCTGGGATTGTTGCATTTTGTTAAGTGGTTAAATTCCTATTTAGCTCTTTTTCAATCTACTGTTACTTTTAAATACATAGATCCTAACCCCCTTTTAAGGTTATTAAGCCTATGTCTTATTTCTGTCACACAGTAAGCATAGTTGTATACTTTGCACATCACAGTATCAGCTACGAGGTCTTTGACTGGTGTTTCTGCTCTTTTTATGTGGTTCCTAATTGTGACTTGTTAGCTTTAATTGTGACTTTACTTAGTGATGGAAAAGTAGTTTTCAGAAGTAACATGAAGACTAGGGTGGGAACATTTTCACGCTGAGACCATTTTATGTATCTATTTTACCTTCTCAAAGAAAGGCAGACTGCCACATGTAGCACCTCATTTGGATGTATCTGGAATCCTGACAGGTTGAACACCCTACATTCTCCTTCAAATGGACCCTCAAAGTTTGTTTGGAGGTTCTAACAAGGGATTGAGCTATGCATAGATCAATCAAGAATGATCTTCCTGTGTTGGGAAAGGGCCTCTTCCACCACGTGTGCAGCCTTGGGAAGGACACATGTGGACTGGTGAAGGATGAAGGAAACATCCACCCAGCCAGCCAAATCAGCTAAATCAACTGATCAATAGGATGACAGACATCATAGCCAAATCACCTTTGTACCTCATTCTTTTTTTTGCTATGTGCAGCCACAAGGCAGTCCTTCCTCATCCTCAAATGATATTAGGTGCATGCCTAACACTCTAGGTGGTACCACACCCTATACTGTCTTTCCCATCTATTCTATAGTGTTGCTGCATAGTGTCAGAGAGTCTGTCTGTCCATGTCTTATGCCCTGGTGACTCCTTTACTTAACATTGCACTTTGGGGACATTATTAAATAAAACAAGAGTTAATTAAACACAAGCATATGATGCTGTGATAGCCAATTTGATAACTACGACCACTGCTAAGTGACTAAACTACTGAGTGGTGCATATAATGTGGATACTTGGCACAAAGATCCATATATATATATATGCTTCTAGGCTTCAGTTAGCCACTCTAAAAATCGAGAGCAGAAGTCCTTTCAGCTCCTTCAATGGCAGGAGGACATGTACAGTGCCTTTCATAGCCATCATTTACCTAGAGCAGCTCTCTTGGGCTAAGGCAGGTTGAATCCTGTCTCTACTATGTGCTGTCTGATTCACTGACAGAGCCACATGTAACAGATGACAGCTCCCAGCATGCACTTCTCTAGCATTCTTCTGGTAACCCCAACCACAGCACAATTCCCAGCATGTCATATGCCCCTGCATGTCCCTCCAGTCCCAATCTCAATTCTTCTTCAGTTATGTTTTAACATCCTCTGACTTTATGTAGAGAAAGATGTGCAAGGGAGAAGGGAAAGGAAAGTGCCCTGGTTGCTCATTACCTGCTTGGTCCAGACCTCAGATTTCTCCCCGAGGGTCAGGCTAGATAGTGGCCATTCAAAGCTGTCTGTCTCTAGTCCCTGGGGATTGTGGGTATACTACCATATGAGAGTGAATCAGGGAAGGGCCCCAAATCAAGAAATGCAAACAGCCTCTGAAAGCTGCAAAAGGCAAGGACACAGAGTCTGCCTCCACTAGAGCCCCCCACCCCACCCCCACCCTTACCCCCCCATCCCCCTACCCCCCCACCCCGGGAGGAATGATGCGGCTGGCACCTTGACTTCAGGATTCTTGACTCCTTGAACTGTGATACAATAAATTTGTCTTGTTTTAAGCCACTGAATTGACAGTAATTTGTAACAACAGCAGTAGAAAAACTGTACCGGCAGGCCATCAATTTATTGTCTAGTTCTGCTGCTAACCGTTGTAGTTCATGGAAATGTTTCTCAGATGTTGGAATTAGGTCCGATCAATGACTGCCCTCAAGGGAAATCTTTAATATGTGGTGGAAGTTGGGTTTTTGTCTTTTTCTATGCCTCTTTGCTACTTCTGCTGAATGTTCCATTTGAATGTTCTAGGTGTAACTCAGACTTCTATTTGTGACATGGAGAATGCCATGGCATTTTATAAAATGTATTGCCCTTTGGCTAGGTGAGAAAGTCACTTCCCCTTCCTGCTGACGAGGCAGACCATTTTTTCCCAACCATTTTTTGTGAACTGTGCATCATCTATGTAAAGTTCAGAGTTAATCGCCTAGCTAAAAGTCATTGTTGTTGCTGCTACTATTGTTTTGAGACAGGGTCTCATTTGTCTAGGCTGGCCTTAAGCTTCCTGTGTAGCTGAAGAGGACTTTGAATTCCTGGTCCTCTTTCTTCTACCTCGTGAGTTCTGAGACTGTATTCATGCACCACCATACCCAGTTTATGGGATTCTGAGCTCAAACTCAGGACTTGACACATGATAAGCAAGTAATCTATCAACTGACCTACATTCCCAGCCCTACTAACCAAAAATTTGAGAAATATGTAGAGAAAGAATGAAAACACCAAAATACCTTAAAGTGATGATAAGTATTCCATCCCCTATTTCAGGTATTCCACTGAAGATGTCCAGGAGGTTAGCCAGGCTTGTAACATGGTTTTGGGGATGTGTGACATGTGCAGGCAGAAGACAGGCAGCTGCTTCCCTTCCTTGGGCTTCTACAGCATGCTCAGTAAGCAGGGGTTGGCCAGTTCACAATTCACTTTACATGTTTTTTATTTGCATGCATTTGGAACCACAAACAGAAGACAGTAGTCTCTGTTCTCCAATTCACCAGACAAAACATAATTACAAGGCAGCATGGTAATTGCTATGGGACAATGATGAGATGAGCTTGTAACTGAAGCAGGAGGAAATGGCAGAGATATTCATTAAGTAATTAATTAATTCACAGTACTCCACTTGGGCACAGTGCTGAATGCTAGATGATGTTTTTACCTTGAGAGCAACAAGAATCTGTGCAAAGACTTGTGCTAGAAACACTAGGCCGCTTCTGCTCAGGCTTCCCTCCTCTGTTCCTGCGCTATCAATAATTGGTAAACGTGATAATGTCTACACATAGGAGAGGCACCTGTAGGCGTAAGGCAGGCACAAACAGCCTTAGAAATGGCCCTGTGTCTTCCACTAAGTACTTACAATCAAAACATGCCTTTTCCAGATCCCACTGAGTATCAGTGATGTGTTTGGAGTGAGTGTGTGACTTGAAGCCTGGGACAAACATCGTGGGAAAACTCATTAGGTTCAAACACTGCCCACCTTGGGAGCCTGCCTCCTTGTCATGCTCTGTCTTGGAGTCTCGTTTTTCTAAGTATCGGAGTTCAAGTTCCATCATTCTCTAGTGTTTCCAAGCATCTTTATTTTCCTGTATTGGAACTTAGTTTACTTCAGCAAGTCTGCTATTCCCAGTCTAGGGTAGAAAAGGTAACCTTGGTACCTCAAGCTAACTCCCTCACTTGTGATTTGGCCATGTGTAGAGTTAACAGTTAAACTCTCTCTACATTCTTCCTTCCTCCCTTATTCCCTCAACCTCATGTAGTCCATGATCTAAAAGCCTTGGTTGGTATCATGAGCTAGTACATGTGGTGTTAGAAAAGAGGCATTGGTCCTATGAGGGTCTTCTCTGAAGACACTCACAGCCCATGTCACCTGCCATTCCTCTGGTAAGGTCAGCCTGCTCTGGGAAGGCTTCCTGTGCCAACCAGCACTGTGACTCCTTTTATGGGGATTTCACTTGGACTCTGCTGTGGAGCCTGCTAGCTGCACTTCTCACTAGCTTTTGAGCAGCTCACGCCTCTCCAGGGCCATTTCCCAATCTCTGCTTGGATCTTAGGGAACGGAGAATTTTCTCTTAGGACACAGGAGACTGTCCAGAAGAGCTTCCGTCACAGGAGACATCAAGAGTAGAGCAGATGGTAGATGGAGCTGGCAGAGAAAGTCTGAGTTCTCCTCCCCATACTAACACCATAAGTACTTACCATTTCCGGGTCATGTTGGCTCCCCACTGATTCAGGTCCACATCTTCACGTGGCACTTTGTGGCTCTTGCTATTCTCTTACCTCATCTCTACTTATGCTTCCTGCAGATTCTCTCTCAGCTGTATTTACCTTATTAAACACTTTTTAAAAAAATTCTTACAATGCACATTAGTCTTTTTAGGACATAAAACTGTTTTTTACCCCCACTTCCCACCTCTTCTCACTGACCTATCCCCCAGTCTTTATCCTGCTTAATTTCTCTCATTCCTCAGTTTGAAGATTAAGCCTAACCAAATCCAGGAGAATCTTCCCTGGACCCTGGGTGCCAAGGTCCCAGAATACCATGTGCTCCCGTTACATGCTCCTAACCTTTCTCTACTGTAATTGTCTGTTTATAAGCTGTCTTAGACCAAAGCTTTGTCTGGGTCTTTGGTGCTTAGAAGTTCAATGAGTATTTGCAGATAGATGGATGGATGGATGGATGGATGGATGG